AGTCAGTCATGTAGTCAGCATGAAGCTAGTTAATTGGTTAAGCTATGTTCATGTAACCAGTCCCTACAGAACGTTGTTTTGATGTATTTGGAAATGTGAGTAAAATGGAACATTTTGTTCTTTCCCTTATCAGTGTCTCTGAGTGAGCTATCGAGACAGTGCCAGTTGAGGAGAACTAACCGATAAGGGGTGGTTTACTGTGGGGAAACGTGAAGCCTGCTCTGTAGATTCCCTGAACTTTTATCTGGTTTTTAAGCCAATAATTTTCATGCTCTGCCACGATTTTATCCATGCTATCCAGTAGTATCATCCCATTCCCACAAATAACTTTATGCTCAAGGGCACCTTGTCTCAGTCTACCCACAAGGGAGCAGTTTCCAGTTGTGCAACTGGTTGTGCAAGCAGCAGTGCTATTAGTTGCATGGGTGTAAATGCAATCAGTTGAATCCACAGGGACATCGAGAACAAGTGTACTGTTCCTTGGATAATGTCAAAAACATCTGAGCTCCATTTGAGTACTGCTTTCCATCATTAGTTTGACATTGGTTTTAAGACTCTGCTTTGTTTTCAGGTTTCTGGGTTTGGCCAAAAAAAACACTTTCATTATGTTTAAAATCTTATATTAGAAAAAACAACAACACAACTTTCATTATGTTTAAAATCTTATATTAGTTTTCCTAGAACAACATTGAGTGGGTGGGAAATTCAAAAATGTATACACCAAATTAATTAATAAATTAGCGAAAATGAGGTTGATCAGAAATGGATGGCACTAGTCACTGGCCAGGTCTACTTCAGCTTGTTTTGGAACACTTCAGGGGAAAACCGGTTCTGGTGTATGCAAGAATCCTCTGGACTTGGATTCTGAGGGCCTCTGGATACGAATAAAGAGGGACAAACTGAGGAGCAGATGCCTGGCCACCTCTGAAGTGATTGGGAGACAATGGCCCTTCCAAAGTTGCCCACTCCAATAACAGGAGCAATATAGTGTATGTGGTCCAATGCAAAGAGGAGTGTTCGGAGCTCTACATTGGAGACACCAAATAGCCACTAAACAGGAGAATGGCCCAGCCCAGGAGGGGCAATGGCTCAGGACCACAATCAGCAGTGTTGCTTCATTTGAATGACAAAAGACCCTCATTTGATGACCAAGATGTACTCATTTTAGACCGAGAAGATAGATGGTTTAAGAGAGTACCCATCACATTTCAATAAATACAACTCTCCTCATACTGAAGAAGCTGCTTGGATGAGTAGCAAAATGTTTCAATCTAACAAGAAAGAAGTCCAGTTGCCATGACTCAACTTCCAGATAACCATCATGAATGGATGTGATGGAGTGCCAGCAAAGGGTCGGGGAAAGGTAAAATGGATAAAAGCTGGTTAAGGGGCAGCTGCCTTTGTGTAAGGACCTCCACTCCATTTGGGTCAGTTCCTTCATCCGATGATACACTAGAGGAGTTCTTGGCCTTCAGAAGTGGTTCTCTGAGGCCCTGCAGTGGAAGTTGAAAGGGGAAGGAACACTCTTTTCCTCAAGAATCCTTCGGCTCAGAGGCTCAAGGTCCAACTAAATGGTTGCCCAGCCTCCAGTTATGCTTGCCTCTCTACCTTCCTGGGCATCTTATATTTAGCCCCCATCCTCTACTGTAGCCCGCTTCTGCAGATGCAACAGAGGAATTGTTCGTGCTCTTCTTCAGAGACCCCTCTAAAAGCTTGAGTTCATCAAGGCTTCAAATGGATACTACAGTCTTGTATTTGGAATACCTCACTCATCCTAAATCAGAGAAGGGCATCTTGTGGCTCTTCACTCATCTTAAATCAGAGAAGGGCATCTTGTGGCTCTTTAGACTGCAACGTGTTATCCTCCCTCACTGCCTTCTAAAATGAACTCATTCTGTGGGAAAGTATTACTAGCAATCCTGCCAGTGATCAACTCTGAGGAAATTTGGTGGCTCTGCTCAAGATTTTGACATCCTGTTAATAAACACCAGGCCCAAACCCCAACAAAAAGCGGGCGAGGAATTTCTAATTGACCTTATCCACATCTTAGCTCAGTGGCATTGTTTACTATAACCATGACAGATAGAAGAGCCTTCAGACATTGCTATGAGGGACTTTCAGTTTTGGTATTACCTCGATTAGTCAGGAAATGAATGTTTTTTTCAGCTAATTGACATATCTTTAACACCAGTTTTAATTATCACCTCATAGATCAGTCTGGAAAGCATCAAACAGAAATCAATGTTTGTTGTTGTCATTATCTGGAGGGGCCCTACACATCACACTCTAACAAAAACAGCATTCCTCCTTCTTAAAAAGGAGAAATAGCCATGTTGTCCATGGGTACAAAACAAAAAAAACAAAAAGAACCTCTAAGCAGCAGAGGCTGGTAACTCCAGTTTCAGAAGGGGTTTTGAATCCACTCTGGTTTTTAGTGTGTGCTTTAAACAAGCTACCCATTAGGCCATATTTCAGTGATATGGTTCTGCATCTGTGAAGTTCAAACTGGCCAGGTCTCCCCCAGCTTGTTTTGGCTGGAATGGATCTGTTGTCTTGTGGAACTGGAGTCACCAGCACCTTCTACTGCTACCTAGTAGGCTTTTCATTAGAGATTCTCTTCTAGGTTCCCCTTCTTTGCAGATGAGGTGGAGCTGAAAGAGGAGAATAAGGCCATGGCTGTGGAATGCCTTCTTTAGGAGGGCAGCAACCTCTCTAAGCCTCCAGGACAAAGTACAGATCTCTTATTTTTCCAGGCCTTAAAAATCTTTTAAACTTCCAAGTGCAATCCCGTACATACTCAGAAGCAAGTTTCACTGGTTTCAACAAGACTTATTTCCACGTAAGTGACCATACAATTGTAATCTGAGGCGACTAGTCTATGCATCAGGGATGGGGAACATATGGTCTTCCAGATGTTGTTATTCTGTAGCTCCCAGCATGCCTCACCATAGGCTATTCTAGCTAGGGCTGATAGGAGCTGTAGTCTATCCACCATCCACAAGGCCACATGTTCCTTGGGCTTGCAGTATAAACTTACTAGAAGCAAATCCCACTTAACATAGCGGGTCATATTCCTAAGCAAAACCGCACGCCATGGCACTCCCCTTGTTCCATTCTGTCTGACTCTTCTGAGTTCAGTGGGTGTCCCTCTTAGCCCAGTGTGTGCAGAACTGTAACTAAGCCCAAAGCCTGTCATCTTAATTTTGTGATGAACTCGTTGATCACCTGGTTTAGTAAGTTCACCATTGTTTCACTGAAATTGCCCAGTCCTGTAAAACAGGGGTCTCAAACATGCAGCCTGGGGCATTTTCGGTGCGCCAGATGATAGTTTGTGGCCCCCGCCTTGCCTGCTTCCCCTTGAAGTGCCCACACGTCCTCTGCTGTCAAGAGTCCAAAAAAAAAAATCCTCGCCTCGCTTGCCAGCTGTCTCCCAAGACAGAGAACCTCTAATGAAAAGCCTACCAGGTAGCAGTAGAAGGTGCTGGTGACTCCAGTTCCACAAGACAACAGATCCATTCCAGCCTGCTGTAAATCACTTGGAACATGAGGAGGAGGAGGAGAACGAGAACTGAGGAGGAGAACTGATCAGGAGGATGATAACGTCTTCCTTGTGAAGCACTTCCACGATACACCTCCTCAGGTCCATCTGATCCAGTTATGATCAGACAAGGCAAGGAATGAAATATTTGATTGCCATCCTTTTATCAGCTTCTTTTCCATGAACTGAATCTGGATTGCTCTATATTCAGAGTTTCTGAAGAGGTGCATAACCTCTGAAATATATTCATCCAAAAGGAATCATGGGCATTGACAGGGGACCAAATAAGGCAACAGAAGCAACAGGACGGACTCGGCTCCTTTTGGCGGACTGATGAGTGGTGTTTCTTCACCACTTACTCCCTACCAGGAACAGGACGGGGTTATTTTAAGAGCACGACGACTGTTCTCATATATTCATTTTCATGATGTAAACAGTGCTTCTCAACAGAATGAAATTAAAGGTTTTAGATGTTTTTGGCTCGGATATGGGGTCTGAATGTACATTTGCAAGTCTTATTTATTCTCTGCAGGAAAAGGAAGCAAAAGAAAAACATGCTTTCCTCGTGAGCAACTCCATCTTCTCTAGCAGCTTAATGCATTTTGCACATAGCCACTCAAAAAGAATGTATCCCAAACAGCAAGATGCCATGTTCAAATATTTCCACTCAAATTGATTCTGGATAAGATTTTGCAATTTTTTTTTTTAAATAAACACAATAAAAATGCCAGGGCTAATGATAGGTTCTGGTGAATCTTAAGCAGCCTGAGGATTATCCAAACAGCTATGCCTCCCAGGTACCACTCTTGACAAAATGAAAGGAGACCAGATGCCCCAACAACTGCATTCATTTTAATAGTAAATAAATGAGTCCCCAGTAGTTCTGCTATGGTTAGCAAGGGAGTTAGCTTCCAGCTGCTTGTTTTTGTGCTAACAGCTGAATAAATATGTCCCCGGTACAATATGAATTTCAGAGAGAAAATGATTACTCGGTAGCTCAAACTCCAGAGAGATTTCACCTATTGTTGTTTATATGGAAGCAGATGGAAAATAGCACTAAAACTTTCTAAATAACTTTTTCAAACTCCTCTGTGTACCCAACAAAAGGGGGGAAATTAACAACTTTTGGAGAAGACACTGCAAAGATTCAAGATGCCCAATTAAAGATGCTAGGTTTTGGTCGTTAGGCACCTCAACCCAGGATGAGTCACATTCTCCAGATGTTACTTTGCTGCAACTACTATTAACCTGAGTCATCACAGTTAATAATGATGATGGGAAATGCGGCCCTGAATCGGGAGGGACATTTCTTCCTTATTTGCAGCCTTGACATTTCAGAGCCAGATCTTGAGGGATGTGGGCCATTCTGATGTCACAGAGGACAGGCACTGTGATGTCACAGGCGGGAAGTACTACAAGACATCACAACTACTAGGTCAGCTGACCGGGGCAATGGGGCACACTGGGAATCTCTGCAACTGGGCCCAGAAGCCATGTCAGATCCATCCATCCTGGGTGGTATCCATGTAAAACCTGGGAAACCTGCTTAAGAAAAAAAAGAAGTGGCTTCAACACTAAAAGAGCTGAAGACACAGGGGAAGAGTTGAGCACAGAGCGCCTCGCGCCTGGATGGAGTTAGTTTTCCATTTCTTCATCATTTCGATTTCTTTAATCCTGTATTTGTTCCATCCCATATAAGAACTCGTCTAAATTGTTATCAAAACATAGCCAAAGTGGGATTCTCTCTCACCCCTATCTCTATCCTGCCAGAGATCTAGATAGACAAGCACAAGGTACAGGGTTTACTCAGTAGCAGTCCAGCCCTTCTGGCATTTCCTTACTAGGGGGGTACACATGGTTTTGTCAATCCTGGTTTCAAGGAAAAACACTGAAGCCACTTTTAATTCCGTCCTCATTTTCATTCATCACTGTTGTGCTGAGCATGAAGAATTTTAGCCGCTGGCAGTTGTAAACTAATCTGTCTAAACAAGTGGTTGGATTGTAATTGTTCTCAATTATATTTGTTTTAAAACTTTATGGAAACCACCTGGTCAGGGCAATGTTCCACCAACAGGGTGGGTCTAAGTCAATTGCAGTATAGTCCTGTACAGATCTGCTCCACAGTAAGTCTCATTGACTCAAATGGGGCTTACTCTCAGGTGTGTACGTATAGGTTTGCAGCCTCCGTAGATATATAAAAATGGGATCCAATGGAGAGCCACATGCCCTCCTGATAATACAATCAGCCATGGAGTTTTAATTGAATCTGCTCATAGGCAGCATACTTGTAAACAAACAGTTGAAATGAGTGAAGTGTAGGGTTCAAAATTCTCTGCTGAAAACAATAGTTCCCAAATTTTGGTGCTCAGATATCAACTCCAGAAGCCCCAGCTGGCATGGCCCATGGTCAAAGATTCTGGGCGTTTTAGTCCAACAATGACAACAGTGAGGTTGTTCTCATGGGCAAACATAAGGAGCATGACATGTTTGCCCACTCTTCAGATTAAAAGAATTTGTGACAGAGATCGCAGGACAGAGTGGGCATGATTCTACGCAAAAGCACATATGCTGTGGATTCACATCCCACTCCTTCACCCATGCGGAAGACAGCTCCCATCTATCTACCTGTTTAAGCCGGCATGAGGAAAAGCTGTCTACACAAAGAGTACAGTACTTCTAGTTGCTAAATGAATGGAGTGCAGGACAGCAGTTCTGCCCCAGCAAGCAGGGGAAGGCAAGTCATGGTCCTCATCAGGTTAACTCAGATGAGCCAAATAAAAAGAATAAAGAAAAGGTAAGGAAATAGAAGGGGTAGAAAGTAAACAACAGAGCTTGGAAAAGCTGCTACATTCCTCAGGCAGCACAACCAATGAACGCTTTGGCTTGGGGGTTCATAGATTTTTAGTCCGAAAAATTGCATCACATTTAGCTTTTGGATAGTGTGTGTGTGTGTGTGGGGGGTTATCAATTTCCTTTCCTGAGCTTGTTTACATACATGCAAATTCTTCTTCCCAAGTAGCAGGCTTTTAATGGGCAGCATCAGCTTCGTAGACTGATGATCCTGAACATGACAGCTCATCTGCCTGTGTGTAAATTGAAATGCAAACAACCAGGATGGAAATTATGAATCACCGAATCCATCTCTTACGTGCAAGTCCCCGAAAGCCTTAAAAGCAAACACATTTTTGCATGTCTTCGGTTGAAGCTTCCGGGCTCTGTGCGAATATAAGCAAATGGGAAATCGTCTTTAAAGCTGAGCCCTTCTAAAGAGACAGATGCCACTCGGCAAGATCTCCTGAGATACCTAGGAAAGAGGCTTTTGTTTTGCCTTGTTTACACTGCTATTTTAACTTTCTTTCACAAAGGTTGGAGTGACTTTCATGTGGCCTCAAGTCTGACAATTCTTTTGTCCAACTTGTTCCATGGCTCTCGGCACATCCAAGTTAGTGAATGGAAATTTGTCTGTGTGAAACGTAGAAGCATCACTTCTCTGCACATTCAAGGAACAAAACATTAAGTGCCTTTTCTTCTCAGCCTACTAAAAATAGATTCAGTGAGGAGAACATGAAAGCACTTTCCAGCTAAACAATGCTCTGCCAATGATGTTCTGCAGACAACTGTCTATACCAGATGACAGGATAAG